TAGGTCGCCTAGTTAAGATCTCCTTCTGCGCTGGAAGAGAAGAAGCGTTCAAGGTTAGGGATCCCAGACCCCCTAAAGGATCCAAAAAATGGAACCGCTCCAATATGAACCCATTACTACATTGGGGAACCTAGGGGATTTTTAGGGGTTCCATTTTTTGGATCCTTTAGGGGGTCTGTGACTATGGTGGTCACAGAGCTTCTTATGCATGTAAGAGAAGGAATGGCAGCAGGTGGAGCAAGGCTTACGACAGCACTAATGCAGATCACTGAAAGTGGGTGGCAAAGATCAGGAACCACAATAATGGGCAGCCTGCAGTGGTACGGATCCACGGTTGTGACCCTACAATAACAGTATATAACCTGCACATGCAACCCCTACCATGGATTTTTCTTGCACCACCGTACCCTAAACCCTAGACCCTAAAACCTAAACCCTAAATCCTAAACCCTAAACCCCTAAACCCTAAACCCCTAAATCCCTAAACCCCTAAACCCTAGCAAGATTTCCTCTATTCACCTTAGGTCCTTACTTAAACGGAGCCAGCAACGTTGCAATGCTTCGGTGGCGGTAGAAGCCAGCCATTGATCACCAGCCTTTCTGGAGGTTAGGGTTCAGGGCTCAAGGTTTACACTGAATCCTAAACCTTTAGGGTTTCTGGGTTAAGGTTTAGGGTTTCAGGGCTGGGGCTCGTAGGAATGGAGGATGCTTGTAGCTGTCCCTATATAATTTCGTTGGTCTCCAAGCAATATCTGCTAACCAACCCAAACCTTTGAACCTTTGAACTCCGAACTTTAGACCCCGAGCCTTGAGCCCGGAGCCCTGCAGCAGTCTCCATTTTCTTATTCAAAACCCTAGATGCAACGTAATTGCCAAATAGCCCCTTTAGTGACATAAGTGCCGGTGGTACTCTCCATTTTCTTTTCCATTCCCTCAGTCCCTACTAATCAGCAGTAAGCAGCAGGTCACGGGCTAGTGACATCCAGGTCATGAGCAGCGCCATTACCTGAAGGTGTCTCCACAGTATCCACCCCTTTCCAAAAGGTCAGGAGGACTATAGAGAAATTTATGTTTAAGGGCTTGAGTACAGGCTTGAAATGCACCCAGATGAAATAGCCTTGCACACGCGGCTAGCCATACGGTCTTCTTGCGTGCCATGGGATATAGAAGGGAATCTATGGGGATATATATAGGGGACTATACATATATATATATATGTTATATGTATATACACATATATATATATATGTATCGTATCAGGTTTTGTCAATACTCCAGGAAGGAAATCTGCTACCTTCAGTTTTGTATGGTGTGCCTCCATAAACAAAACGGAAAAGAAACATGACAACAATTAAACAAATACACAAGAAACAACAACTACGAAATCCCAGTTTCCGTTCATTTTCCATTTTCTTGTTGATTTGGCTCTCCATTCTTGAGTTTATCTAAGCATCTAAAGGTTTGCTGATAAGTCTGGGTTTCTACGTTGCATTGGTGGCCCAGACACCTTCTAAGGTCAGCACATTTGATTTTCCATTATTGGGGTAATATGTCCTTGAACACTATATCATCCTTAGCTAATCCCTATATATCCCTAAATGGCCCCTATATGCCCCTATGTATCCCTCTATAGTCTCTATATATCCTCTATTATCACTACACATCCCTAAATAGCCCCTATTTAGGATTCTGCCTGGCCACAGATAAGGTCAGCGCTGATGTCTGGCCGAAGCCCAGTGGACCAGGGAGTCGGTAGGGCGAGCTGCACAGCTCGCACGTTGCAGCAGACTTGGGCGAGTAGGCTCGCCACTGCATTAAGCATTCTGGATGAACGTGTGCGAGGGAACCTTAGATGATGGGATCATGAGAAGGGGAGCCTCATATCCAATTGCGCTGACCTACATTCTTTCATTGAGCACACGTCTGACACATACAAATTTGACCCCTCTCTGTACACCCACCTTAAGATCTCTGTAACATCTGCCAGTGCAGCAGGAGGAAGCCTTTGCAATTGCAAGGGCGCACCAGCTTACCGCTTGAATCTTGGCAGATGCGGCATATGGCCTGACAAGGCAGTTCCTGGACCCTCATTTCAAAGGACAGTTGAGTGACTGGATACAGAAGGCGCATCTGGAACTTTGGGACTTTCACAAATGACTTCAAAGGGTCCCGCTTCAGGAAGATGCGTGGGTCGTTTCCGAGGAACTCCTTCAGGAAGCCTGAATTTTTAGGCTAGAGTGACTAAAAGTTTTGGTGTAGGGTATATTTTCTGATCTGACCCCTAAACCCTAAAACCCTAAACCCTAAAACCCCTAAACCCGATGGTTCTGAAGTCGTATTGCTACGGACATTCTGCAGTTGAACGTCTCACTGTCGGCCACATGACAAACAATTGAGTAATGTTTTTTTGGGTGGTTGAACCCAGCAAGTAATATTCCTTGTATAACATACTATACCCGAAAGGAGGATATAATCTTACTCTATATTGGGTACCATACGGTGGATACTAAAAATCCTGCACGACCCTAAGTACCAGATACCTTGGGAATTATAGTACTGTAGTATATTCAGGTCATGCAGGATTTTTTTGTATCAACAGTAGTATTCCCAAATAGAATACTACACAATTGGGGTGTTCATCCCACGAGCTCTTCTATCTAGGTGTCTTTGAACGAGGTGGGTAGAGTGGCCCTTAAGTAGATAGAGTATGGCTTTGGGTATATTATAGCAAGATCCCCATATACTCCATATTCTCTCTACTTAAGGGGGACTATATTATGAAACAGCAGTGTTCTTCATAACAACAACTGTAGGAGAATATCGGCTGTGAACGCATTATGAGTTGAGTGCTTGTCTAGCTAGTGGTTGAAGACTTCATATTGAAGGACAGCCAACTGTTTCTTCATCCTGTGCCAGTAGCACCGTGATCCCAGTTTATATGGAGGTTTCCCAAAATTAGGGGTACCTCTTGGGGGGTTCCCATAATAAGGACTATAGTTGTTTGGGGCCTATATTGGGGCTCCATTTTTTGGGAAACTACCATATCCTTCCCTGGAAGTCAGTGTCTGGCATCCATATACATTCTATAAATTCCCTGTAGCCCTAAATATGCCTAAGCCCTATACGAGCCACTCTCAAAAATTGCGCCTTCGTCACGGGTAGTAGTATCTAGCATCTAGGGAATGGGACCCTCTTTTGAAACCGCCCATATAATCCCTCCATACTAGTATAAGATATTCCTCCACCCCTCATATTTGAAATGTCCCCTGAAAGCTCTTTGTGGAGAACATTCACTATCGGGGGTGCGGGGCTGTCTAATATTAGTCCCTAAACATCCAAGTTCACGAATATCATATACCCCTTCGAAACCTGTATTTTGGGTACTGCCCCCACCCAGTAACAGTCTATATTAGGGTCCTATTAAGGGCTATATATAACCATATTACAATTGTTATCCAGCTGTTACTGAGGGGGGGCAGTACCCAACCTATATTAAAACTACTACGACCAAAATCCCAAGTACTCAACTATTGGGTACTTGGACTCCTGGACCCTTAGGCCCTAAACCCTAAATATTCAACCCTGAAACCCGAACCCCTAAAGCCCTAAACCCTTAAAGCCTAAAACCCTGAACCCCTGAAGAACTCAAATCCCAAACCCTAGGATTATAGTCCCCCCTAAGTAGATTCAATATGGCTTTTGGTATATCATAATGAGGTCCCCATATACCCCATATCCTATCTACTTAAGGGGGACTATACTCCGTTCAACCCTGCCTCAGGGTCACTGCCCGCATTCTCTTCGCCTTCAAGCCTCTTTCTGTTTCGCAGCTCCATGGCGGCAATTTCACCAAAGTCTGCGCTGATGGGATTTATTGGGGTGGATTGAGGGCTAGTGTGGGGTTCTTGAAAGGTGGGACCTTGCAAGGGGCTGGATTTATGGGTCTGGGCCCAAAGAGAGAAGAACTTGTGTCTCTGGCAATTCCCAAGATTGTGAGTGGCCTCTCCTAGAACTTTGCGCAGGCATGGGCCCCCGTACTTACCTCCCCATACTACCCCCCTAGGTTCCCTCTTCATTATCCTTAGTGGCACTAATTGGGGGTAGCAAGCGGATTCACGACATAAGGTCATGGCATTTTGACTTGGGATGCGTGCTGCTAGTATTCTGTAGTTGGACAAGAGAGCGACAATTTACATATGATCCCTACATGACCTTTGTAACGCCTGTATACCCCTCTATAACCCTATACATGTGTTAGTTTTTCAGGCTTCTACGGGCCTTTGAGAAATGGCCTTCCGCGATGAAAACACATTGGAAATGTTACACTATGATACATTCGACTGTTTACATAATCCATATAAGCTTTACCAAAAAAATCTGCAGAAAAAAACACAGACTTTCTACTCAAACCCTATACATTTGACACAACAACCCCACTTAGCCCTTAGTACGCCGCCACAAAAACCCTCTGGAAATTCAGACTCTGCTTGCAGTTGCCACTTGAACCGTATTTCACCCTCAGTCCTAAACTTTGAATTCTCAATCTGGGCCCCTAAAATCCACCGGAGGGGCCTCTGGGCCCATATTAGTGGCGCATACTTCTAACCTTAGATCCAAAGAAGTCCTAGTTCATCCTCTGTCGTAAACTCTAAAAATGAAGCGAGCAAGATCAGACCCCAGGCCCTATTCCTCCAAATCCTAAACCCCAAGCCCCAAATTCTAAACCCTTGACCCTGAAACCCTAATTTCTAAACCCTTAACCCTACATTCTAGACCTGCAAACCTAAACCCTAAATTGAAAACTCGACATCTGAAGCCCTAAGCCTGAAGCCCTTTAGACCCCCGAAGACAGCACAGAATTTGTGAATATAATCCTTTATCATCCCTATAATTATAATGTATTCCTTTTTGCCCTACCCGCTAAACCGTAACCCCCAAAACCCCTAAACCCCCCAACCCCAAACCCCTAAACCGCTAAACCCTAAACCGAGGCTCTCGACTGGCCGCCCCTCTCGCATGCAGTCAGAGCTGCACCGAAGGTCACCACCTAGGCCCGGAGGTGTGATATAACGGAGAATCAAAGGGCAAAGGAAATGGGAAATACAGTGGAAACTGAACTGGGATTATATGGGGGATTATAGCGTTTAGGGTTTAGGGCTTAGGGTTTTCAGGACTTGGGTTTAGGGTTTGAAGGGCTTAATAAGAATATATACATATGTAATGTTCAGGGTTTCAGGTTTCAGGAAGTTTGGGTTTGGGTTTGAGCTTAGGTTTTGGGGTTGGAATCTAGGATTTGGTAGTTAGAGATGTGCAGTATAGTACTTTGGATTTCGGATTCCGGGTATGATTCGGGGTTTACCGGTTTCGGGTTTAGCAGTTTAGAGCTTTGCCTTGAGATGACTGGGATTGGTTAGGTGGACCCCCCACCCAGTAATAGTGACTCTAAGGAATAGTAAGGATTATATTAGGGTCCTCTTATATTCTATTATACCACTACTACAGGGTGGGGGGACCTCCTAAGGGATTGGTCTCTTGCATCCGGGGTTTTCTGGGCTACTGCTAAGGGACTTATATTAAGTTACCAGAATATGAGTATATAATGAACAATAAGGTTTCCTTCTGACGGTAACTTAAGTGCCTTGACACCAACCCCGTTTTTTGGAGAGGGCGTTAAACTATTGCCCTGTGTTGAAACACTGGTTTCAGGCTTAGATGTTGAGGTTGGGATTGGAAACCTCAGTCAGCAGCTCCACTTACTCGAAATCTGCAGGTGGCTCAGTGCATTGCTGGTATGCTCGAGAATCTGCGCCTGCAACAAGATGGGTTTTAGCAGCCGAAGCACCGCCCAGGCAGTTCAGAAAAGACTGCTCGAACAGTCTCATTTTTTTGTTGGGGGGGGTTGTGTGTGCGTCTTTCATTCGAGAGCCTCGCAAAACAATCAATAAATGACTCCTCAGGGGAACCCCTCCTGTTGGCCTAGGGTCCCTATGGGCAAGATACTCCCATATGATCCTGGAGAAGAAACTCCAAAACATTGCAGCTTCTTGCACACGGGCTTATTGGTTTGGTGAATTGGGTATTGGGCTTGATGGATCTAATCTTTGGCAACCTAAGTAGCCAAACTCCATGGGCGGTGCCAGGCGAATTATCAAGTAAGATTCACGTACACTTAGATAAGGGCACTAGAATGTCTAATGGCCCATGCAGGAAAGGAAACAGTAGAAGTGATAGAACAATGGTATGAGTTGCTAGCAGTTGGGGACGGGAGGAGTTAAGGCGGTTGTCGTCGGCATGGCACCGGCAGTAGTGGTAGTATTTCCGAGACGCCCCTAACATCTTAGACGGTTCTGATTTGGAGTCTTAGTGGTAAAGCCCAGGTCGTCTTTGGATGCAAGCCGCGTCGAGTCCGAACTGTCCTGCACTTCCCAAAGTTCTGAAAAGTCCATTTTGGAGGTTCCCATTTGAAGGCTTCGCACTGCAGCGCTAACCAAAACGTATCAGCTAAAGCAATATCAAAAGCTGAATTCCTCCCCGCACCATGGGTCTTCGCCTTTCCTCTTGTTAGTGCAATAAGCCCTGATAGTCCCGGTGATATCCGCTGTACTACAGCAAGTGGGCCATTCCTTCGAACAAGTTGCATTGCGTGTGGCTGCCTCCGCGCCGCCTGAGGACGAGTATCCGCGCAGTGACTGCAATGCACTGTCAGGAATAGGAATGTTGGACGTAAGGTGTGGTGGATATTTCGTTTGCCTTTAGGGAAGCAATTGTTCTGTTGTACCCCAACTCTGGATGGAGGAAATCTTGCACAACCTTATATCCAAAAACCCTAAACCCTATACCCGAACAGTTACAGTACTTTGCGAACCCTAAGTGCTGCAAGATTTCCTCCATGGATCAAAGGACCACATCCCCACGCCCTGGCACCCTTCGGCTTTGAAGTCTGTTTAAAGAGTGGCGCAAACCGCATGCTGTGGCTTCGGAGGCCTTCCTCATGACCGTATTTCACAAGCGTTACTGATATCCGTCCTGCTACTCATACTCTTGCTATGATTACGTTTATTTTTACTGTTGCTGTTTAAGTCTGCGGCTTCCTTGCTTTTTCAGAAAAGTGTTGCTATCGAAGCTCCTGGAAAAATTATCAAGTATCACATGATCAGCGAGCTCAGTGGAAACAGTTCTTGCTGGGCTCTTTAAAGCGGCATTGCGCGAGTATGAGAGGGGATCTCTGCTGAGGAACGTGCCAGGAAACGTGGCCATTTCCCGTCTTTAAACCACATAGGCGCAGAAACTCCTTTTTTCCTAAAGTCAATCGTTGGGCCCACAAAGGTACACCAATCACGGAGTTACTCTTCAAAGCGATATATGTATGTATATAAACCTATGTATACAAAGCTTGGGACAACTTCAAGAAAGACTGCTGAAAAGACATTCAGGCCTTACGATCATCATCATTATTGTTACTATTTTGTGAATATTTCTATCACCATGATTATTTTCCTCACAACTATTGTCATACTTTTACCATTATTGTTCTGGTTATTTCTACTAATTGGGAGTGGGGAATCGGTTGTTGCTGATTGCTGAGGTTCTTCCCGGCTATCCACTCTCCCAATCCCACTTCAGTACCCCGAACCTGAAACTCTCGGGTTCCCCAACTACCCAGTGTCCTACCCTCCATAAGTTTTCTCTTAGTCAGCTTTGATTCTACCTAACCATCAAAAATTAACTTGAAAAAAGGGAACCTTTGTGGGAGTAGTGTAGGCGGAGTGGTCGGGAAACTCATAGAGCTAGTCTAAACTCCTAGTATCTCCCTTCATAACCTTTATAATACTCCCGTGTATAATCCCCTGTAAGGAGTTGAGACTCGAAATTCTAAACCCTATATAATCCCCCAGATAACCCCCTCCTTTAAGGAGTTTAGACCCTAAACCCTAAACCTAAACTTTTGCCCATATGAAGCCCCTGAGATCAGCAGCTCAGAGCTTGGCCGAACTGTAGGAGAGCTCCCTCCCACCTCTGAGCCTCCCGGAGACTAAGGTTTAGGGGGTAGAGGGTTGGGTTTAAGGCTTAGGGGGTAGGGTTTAGGGTTTAGGGGGTAGTTTAGGGTTTAACTCTAAATCCTAAATCTCAGGTTAAAAGTATGGGCCCCTAATGTGGGCCCTTAGGCCTTTTAGAGGGATTCTAGGGACCCATAAGGTCATATATAAGGTATATAGTATGTATACAAGGATCCCAAGTTAAGGGCACATACTAGCGCCTATGATTTCAACTTTAGATAAATCCTAAACCAGGAGCAGAATTCCTATGATGCCAAGGGCGCCCTTAATGGGTTATACGGTCATATTGGTGTTGTATTTGGATACTGGAAAACAAAATGGAAACTACTATTTGGGGTTTAGGGTTTACAGTTTGGGGGTTATGGGCATTATCCGGGGGTATCTAGGGATTAGGGTAGAGGCTCGAAAAAACAACCAAGAACCGAGAGTGAACTGGTAAGGTAAGAACATCGGCAGTTTATCAAGCTCCTACATGAACTGTAAATACTAAACAATTGGGGGAACATATTTTCCCCCCAATTGTTTAGCAAGTCTATGGCTTTCTCAAGACACGGGGCCCTACAGATCCCACATGCGGGTTACAAAAAGCTCGTAGGGCTCCCTACAAGGGACTATGGTTGAGGATTGCTGTGACAAACTAGTGGTAACAGTACCGGGAGCTGTACGTTAGATTATGTAGCCCATTTAAGTATCTGCAGCCCTTGAGACAACTTGAGACCTCATGCCAAAATTACATACTTCCAAGCAAAGAATGTCCACCAGGTTTGCATTGTTCAGGATCATTTCTAGTGCTAGAAGCTGCTATGGACTCCTAGGCATGCTTGGGACCCCTTGGGGTTATATAGGGGATATCTTGGGATAATGGAAAATAAGATGGAAACTACTATGTTATAGGGTTATATTGGGGTTACATAGGGATAATGGGTGAGCAGGGTGCTGATTTCTTGGGTCTGCGAAGGCTTTCAAAAAGTCAACCCCAAATCCCATACCCGAAGCTCAGGATCGTTTGCCCAGTTTTCTATGGAAAGGAAATGGGTCCGACCCACAATCAACATCTAGGCCCCCTAAGTGCCACTCAAACCATGGCATCCTTACCTGCTGTACCCTCAACTCTAAACCCCCTGTACCCATGAAGATTCACTGGCCCAGCCTTATTCTGGGCAGTGATCCCAGCGCTCTCGCTGAACGCATCACAGGCCACTGAGAGGCTTTGCATCTCGGCCAACCTTAAAAACTCCGCCAAGCAAACGTGGAGCCTTCAAATTGGCCCCGGGTTCGCTGTATCTTTAAGAACGGTTTGTGTGTGGTTCGCAAGAGCTGTTGGCAAATGCAGGACTTTATTCAGGGTTTGGCAGTTGTGGTTGCGCTTCGCCTAGAGGCCTAGAACCAGTAACAATCCGACTCCAGCACGAATGTAAGAGTTGCATACGTGTGGCATCCGACACATACAACTGTTGTTTGATGTCGTCGTTGTTGGTGTTGGTGGTCGTTTGATGATTGTTGGTTGTGGTTGTGGTGGTGGTGGTGGTGGTGGTGGTGGTGGTGGTGGTGGTTGTGGTGGTGGTGGTGGTGGTGGTGGGGGCGGTGGCGGTGGCGGTGGCGGTGGTGGTGGGGGTGGCGGCGGTGGCGGTGGCGGCGGTGGTGGTGGGGGGTGCCGCAGCGACGGCGGCGGCGACGGTGGCGGCGGTGGTGGCAGTGGGGATGTTTGTAATTGTTGCTGCCACCGAAAATATTCGAGCTGGCCCCTCAGAATTCAGAAGGCGTTTTCTGTGGAGCAGCCACGAATACCGATGCTGTAGGGTACTGCGTTTAGCATGCGAACTTACATATGGAAGCAGCATACTTCCGAATGGTGAGCACATGGCTATCCCAAACTTCTTTGAAAACGTCCTTTCCACCCACTGGTCACAAAAACAGCCTCAGACCCTCAAGCCCCGACAGGTCAAGAAGAGACATGAGGTGTCCATCAGCGTGTTCCGTAGATATGAAA